GGGGGAAAACCGCATCCCGAACATGCTTGCATTGTTGCTTAGGGTAGTCAGAAGACTCTGCATTTTGTCAGCGTCTTCACCAAGTAGGACAATGTCATCGGCATATTCTAAGTCAATAAGCGAGCCACCTGGTAGAAGGTCTACTCCAGAAAATTCAGACGAGGATAAGGTTATTTCTAGGAGCATGTCAATGATAAAATTAAACAAGAATGGAGAGAGTGGACATCCCTGACGGACACCACTTGATGTAGAGAATTCCGGTGACAGTTCGCCATAAGCTCTCACTCGACCAGTGGTGTTCGAGTAAAGGGCTTGTATAAGGTTAATGTACTTATTTGGTACACCTTTCAATGACAGACACTGCCACAGAACCTCACGATCCACTGAGTCAAATGCCGCCTTAAGGTCCAGGAAAACAACTATTGTAGGACGCCTAAATGTGTGTCTGTGTTCCAGGACCTGTCGTAGTGTGAAAATGTGGTCTATACAACCACGTCCAGGTCGAAAACCAGATTGGTTTTCTCGAGTCTGCTCTTCACGAGCTTTCGTTAAGCGTCGAAGTATTATTGAGGCCAATATTTTAGATACTATATTAGTTAGACTTATTCCCCTGTGATTGTCACAAGAAGACTTCTGTCCTTTCTTATAGATTGGGACAATCAGTGATTGAGACCAGTCGGATGGGATTACGTCCAGTTCCCAGATCCTGCCTAAGATCTCAGTCAACCTAGCTGCTAAAACTGGACCACCATCCTTAAATATCTCAGGGGTCAGTCTATCAGGACCTGCAGCTCGCCCTCGCTTCAGATTTCCTAACGCTTTCTCAACGTCATTAAGACTAGGGGGACTTACGTCGATTTGCCATTCAGGATGACTGGAGATCGTGGGTAACTGAAGAGTGGCTCGAGGCCAGTTGAACTGATCCCTAAAGTGTTCTGCCCATCGATCCAGTCTCCTGGATTGAGAATAAATGAGAGTCCCGTCATTTTCTGAGATAGTCTCGCTTACACTAGGATTCCTAATACCAGTTTCCTTGATAAGTCGGAAAAGTTGTCTACTGTTGCCTATCGCTGCTGCCTTTTCCATCGCTTTTGCTTTCGCCACCCACCACTGTTCGCGATCGTTACGTAGGCTTTTTATAAGTCTGCGCCTAAGTTGACTTCGTTCTTCATCATGTTCACAGCCAGGTGGGATGAGTTTTCGGGCATCCATCAGATCGGTGGATGCTACTGAGATCCACGGTTTCATTCTAGCCTTATGGTCAACCTCACTAGCAGATATCACTGCTGTTTCCACAGCCTTTTTGATATCATTCCATCCTGCTTCCGGATGGGAATCGCTTAAATGGTCGCCTAACTGCTTTTCTAGTTGTTCCTGAAATATATTTTTCGCCTTATTATCATTAAGCAAAACCCTAAGAGGCTTTCTTACGGTGTCTTTCCTACGCCCAGTAAGCTTCAAACAAATACGCGCTCGCACTAGGGCATGATCTGAATCTAGACATGTGCTCCAGAACGAGCGACAGTCCTCTATCGAACCCCTCCATCGGTGGCTGATGGCGATGTGATCTAGTTGAGTCCAACGTTGAGACGACTTTGGAGGTCGCCAGGTCAACAGATGCTTTTCCTTATGCCTAAAGTTAGTGTTTGCTAAGAATAGGCGGTTGTCTGAGCATATTTGCAACAGACGGTCACCATTGTCTGTTCTCTGAGCCGGGACACCATAACATCCACCTAGGTGTCTCTCTTGCTCACTTAGTCTACCTACTTGAGCATTAAAGTCACCAGCCATTATTACTATGTCAGAGCGCCTAGCTTTTTGGAGGAGGTCCGAAAGCTTTCTGTAAAACTCATCCTTAACCTCGTCTGAACTGCATTCAGTGGGGGCATAGGCAGATACGACGAAGAGGCAACGGCGATTGTCCCTATCTTTCCGAGTCCTTACTGTCCCGTTTAGTCGGACAGCGCACAATCGACTATCTACAGGGATCCAGTCAAGGAGAGATTGTTCTGCCCTACGACTCAATGCTATGCCTACGCCAGCAAGACCCCGGGAAGCAGCATCAGGGCTACCGGATACACGAAGAGTAAATCGAGCTGCTTCTTTATTTTGACATGGTGTGGTCAAGTGTATGACGTGACTCGGATCCTGTATGCGCGTTTCCGAGACGCAGCATACATCGATGGCACGAGATTCTAAAGTCATAGCTAAGGAAGCCTGTTGCCCTATTTGACACAATGTCCGTACATTAAATGCTCCAACATGTAGTCTAGAGCGAGGTTTAAGGAGACCAGGAACGACGTTTCGCGAACTCGTATCGTCTGCATTAGCTGTGCACTGTGATGAATGAATGTGAGAAGAGTTAGTCGTGGAGATAAGAGAGGTGTGTGTTGGTGTAGGAAGGATTTGATTTTGACCAATTCGGTCTCGTGTGCTGTTACGGGTATGAGGGCGGTTGTCACTTCCCGGCTGCCCACACCGTGGAAGGTTGTTTCTTGAGGAACCTGAAAAGGAAGATAGATTAGTGTTGGTGCGTGACCGCAGAGCCCAAGGGACAACTGCTTGAGGCCAGTCACGCATGGCCTTTTTATCAAATGTTTTTTGAGGATTAGCTCCGTTCTTAAAGGCCCTTAGTGGGCACCCTTACCCAAGGAGACGGAAATCCGTGAGTTAGGGGGAGGTGTGACATTTTTAGGGCCGACCTTTTCTAACCCTTCCTTCCTTGTGAGAAGGCAGCATCGCTGCAGATGCTGGTTGTCCGAGGGAAACACCTTACTGCTGTCACACCCCTCTGCAGTCAGCAGTACGACTTCGCCCTCAGACCTTGGGTAGCTGCTTTTAGTCTCATCGTTCTCCAATCGACCAGCCTGGCATGGTAGGACCTGCAGGAACATATGTTCCAGCCAGTATAGCTCGGTTGGGTCATCACGATAGGCAAGCCCGACCACCACGTCAAGGTAGCAGCTACGGTCGGGGAACTCGTAATACCATTCAAGTATATCAGTTAGTCTTCAAAAATTGGACCAATGTTGTCCATAATCTTTCTTAAAATATTAGTACAGAGTGCTGAAGATTTTTTCATTGAAATGACGAACTGATGAATGTCAAATCACCACTAGAGACATGGAAGGACTGAACGGTTACTTCGTCTTGGCATAGGATTCGTCAGCAGAATGGATCCACGACTTGGCAAGCGGGAATCGAACCGATGACCTTTGGTATCGCCCGAGAACGCTTAACCTCTCGGCCACCGGGTCGGCATCCAACGATGTTTAATTTCAACCGATACACGATAGTGTGAACCCGTCATCTATTGTCTCCAGTTAGTAACTGTCTCACACTCAATACAGTTGAATTCCAATTGTCACATCTTCTCACTAGAACTCTGAGATGTCCCTATAGGGTTGAATTTCATTGAAATCATGGACCAAATACACCGCATTATCATTTATAATTCAAATGGCTTAATTGGACTAAACTACCACTAAAAACTTTATGTTAGCACCCATGTTAAGTATACTAACCCTAAATCACATAAATTACATACAGTTTGTTCCAACTTGAATACAGAGAGTTTTAGAAGAAATATGAATTTGGAATGTTCTTTTTCTCTCAACATAAAACTATAAAAAAATATAATCACCATCATAAAAGTTGACCAAAAAAAATGAATCTCTTTCCTACAACTCTTATTGAAAACAGTTTACTTACTGTAGGTATTGACAAAGCAATCATTACTACACATGTAATAGCACTTGATCCAGTACTGTCCGATATGGAACCAGCAAGAATTCCACCAAGTATACCACCTACATCAAAAACAGCTGATAAATCAGCTGATGATGATGGATTGAAACCGCCTTCTTCAAGTATATACAATGGTAACCAAAATAGAAAAGTATATGAGACTAGTTTAGAGAAGAATAATGTCAATGAATATTCAATAACACCCTGAAAGAGAGAGAGAAAGAAAAAGAATTAAAAAGACTATTAAATAAAATAGCTGCAAGTTTGAAGGCTATTGTATATACAAATTTCGCTGAGTATTTATTAAATATTTGGTTTAAGAGCAATGTTTTGTGATGGAGGGGTAGGGTGTGGAAGAAAGTTAGGGGTGGCTAGACCAAAACATGGCACAAATCCAGGAAGTAGCACTGACAACTGGATTGAGTCATGTTTGCTAGATGTAGACTACCTGGTTGGGGTCCGCGAGACGAAATTCACCGATGGTTAGAGACCTTGAATGACATTGCTCAGAATCGTTTACAATGGCGCAGGTGCATTCAGTCTTTGTGTTCTCTGAATTCTAAACTTCTGAATTCCTCATCACCTTTATCTTTCTTTTTCTAAATTTATCTCATGGAATTTTACTTCTTGAATAGTATCTTTGAGCCTTAATCTTCTCCATTATCACTAATACTTCTACTACCTCTGCTAGTGCAGAGTTTGGATAGATAATTTGATCTTTCTGTGTTAATGTGGCAAGGTTGACTGATGGATTGTCAGGCTTCACGTCATCCATTGACTTTTAATATCGGTAGGTTGGAAGAAAGCTAGGGGCGGCCAAACCAAAACATGGACACAAATCCATGCAGTCAGTGACAAGTGGACTGGGTCATGTTGGTAGATGTAGGCTATCTGGTTGGAGCCCGCGAGACGAAAGTCACCGATGGTTAGAGACCTTGAATGACATGGCTTAAAATCGTTTGCAATGGCGGTCGCAGGTGCATCCGTTCTTTGTGCTCTCTCAAACTCTAAACTTCTGAATTCCTCATCACCTCTATCATTCTCTTTCTAACTTTATCTCACTGAATTATACTTCTCGAATCTTATCTTGGAACCCTAATCTTGTCCATTACTGCTAATACTTCTACCATCGCTACCACTGTGAGATTTGAACAGACAGTTTCGCCTCTGTGCTAATGCGGTATGGCAACCTGAATTGATGTACTTACGTACAAAGTTCTACGTTGTATTTGTCTGTCTGTCTTTTAATATCTCCTTCACCGTTCATAGTATACAATCAATCAATCAATCATGTATCTGCTAATCATTTTAATATCACAAATGAAACAGTTATATACATATTGCGAACTCTTATTTATAGCGAGTTAATGGTCATATAACTGATGTCATATTATTGTTAAGTTTATGATATAATAATATAATAAGGAAAGTAAATCAGTTTGTTGTTCTCATGTCCTGATAGTTTAAGTTAGGGACAGAAAGAATCGGTTTAAGACATACAATGTGAGAATATTTCTTTTTCAGATAATTGAAAATAAAACTGATTAAGGATAGTCATGATAATCTGCGAAGATAGTGGTAGAGCTTCAGGAACAACTACTTGAGGTCGGTGACAAACGGTTTTTATGTGGTAAGTTTTTTGATAAGTCAGTACCGTACTTAGAAAAGCTTAGACGAGAATCAATGGATTAAGAATAATTGTGAAATTTTTAAGATCAACTTTTTAATCCTCCTGTTTCTTTATGAAAATTTATCATCGCTACGCATGTTGGTTGTTTGAGGGAAACATTTTAATGCTATCACATTCTTGTATAATCAGCAGGATGTCTACAGACCTTAGTTTCCTCCCTTTATTCTTGCCATTCCTCAACCAGTCTATTTGGTATGGTAGCGCCTAAACGAACAAGTGTTTCAACTCGTTTAGCTCGGCTGGATCATCAAGACAGACAACCGCAACCATCACTTCGTGGCAGCAGCCACGGTCGGGAGCTGAGGTGACTAAAATAATAAGAGCTTTCTGGGACATTGTCTGTAGATAAAGTGGACTTCCTGAGATCACTAGATCGAATTTCGTTGGATTAAAAATAACTGTTACCATGTACAGTAGGATGGATATTGAGTTGGAATTCTATCAGGGAGGATTTAGCACAAATATCGAATAAAACTTAAACGCCATAGTTAAGTTCTAACAATGGGAACCGATTCATCCAGTTTTGATATTGAACCAGTTTTAAGATACATTTCACTGAAGAGCCACGAATCAATCTAAAAGCGATCACATCAAGAGTTTCACACCAGTCAGTGGCTCTTCAATAGATATCGTAAGTGCACACACAAACACACATTATTTAAAATGTTCAACTTTTAAGAATGCATCAAGAATGTTCTACACAAAAAAAATAATTTACGCATTATAATAAGGTTATTCTTTTTTGATAAGTTTTTATTGTACACAAACTTACAGGTACTTTTAATGCAGCTAGAAACGATGAAGAGTTCGTTTTGACCGGTACTAAAAGATTAACTTGTGAACTAGTTTCAACTGATTCCTAAAATGATTAACAAGAAGAAACAAATCATTCAATAGTTAGACAATAATTGGGAATAAGTAGGAAAATAAGAAATACACTAGTTTTGTCATAACTGATACCTACTACAATGCTGCTGAAAACGAATGCGTAATTTGTATTTATTTCGCTCAAATTTAGAACAACATTTAATCGTGTCGATTATCGACGGACAAAAATTCACGTCAATGGACTACCAAGTGTCGTGAGGATTACAATATTTTTGAATTATTATGTTGGAATTCAATAGTTTAGGAGTTTGTAACTTTTTCTCGATTCAAGATAAATTGTTAGTATTATCTAGTGTCATCCGATGAGTATCCGTTTCATTTCAGAGATAACTAATATCTTGACTTGTAACTAGAGGCACGTAGGCATTCTCATTTGAGTTATCAATAGTTACCAAAAAATATTGTATCGCAACGTTGAGGAACATGCATTAACACGAAATAATGGTCCATTGTTTCTCACTCCAAAAAATATCCGTCTGTGATAACATCTATCATCAAAATGTGTTTTACGTTAAAATTAGGGAAAATGTTCGCAAGATTCACAACTTCACATAAAAGCAATATATCGAGGAATTCGAGAATAATACCATAAGAAACGAAAATGTTCTAATCAAATACAAAGGATAAGAGTTAGTAAGTGAAACTCTACAAACAACTATATAAATTGGACCTTTACTAATGCTATCCTTGGTAGTATAATGTCTCAATGTGTTAGTGGTTTGATTAACTAAATAATGGTTAAAATGTGGAGTTATAAACTAGGCATATGAAAGCTTGGAGTTACCAGGATTAAGTAGGTAGAGTGGATGGGACGTGTGTTACGCATACCCAACCAACACCTACCTAGTGCGCAGTCTTTGTTGACGTTGGAATAAGTTAGAAGAAAGTTGAGGAAAGCTAAACCAAAACGTAGCATCAATGCATGAAGTTATGGACTGTTAGTCTGACGTATGTTTGTAGGTGTATACCATCTTGTTGCAGTTCAAAAGACAGCCCTAACCGCTGGTTGAAGACGAAGAGTGACATGACTCAGAATCCGTTACAATGAAACAGATCATGTACACTAACTTTAAAAAAGTTCCGTTATGCGAAGATCAGACTTGGAGAACTACCACAACCTGTGCAAAAACAGGAACAGGTATTTGTCCGCGACTGTCAACAAAAGATACTCCAGATCCGTCGGCGGGAGAATCACCAACAATAACCTACTCTTGTGAATAACAAACCAGTTTCTGTCATTTGAGGAGAAAATTGGGAAAAGATGCTGGAGGTGTGTATTGGACACACCTTACGGAAACCATTAAACCGAAAAGCAATACAAGACGGTCTTAACACGGAATCTTTAATTGGATAAAAAGCCCAAGACAACATTTATTCTAGATAGTTTAGTTGATGCTCTGTAACCTGAGTGGTGGTAGTTTCCGATTTGTTTGAATGCTATTGCTGAGAGTAAACAATAAGCTAGAGAAATATATGTGACGCGTTTGTATAACCTGTAACAAAAACTTAATGTACATAAATTAGCTTAGCTAATAATAATAATAATATTAATAGTAATAATAATAATAATAATAATAATAATAGGCAGCCGTAAACCTTTTTGTATTTGAATACGAAATATGTCAGATCATTATTTTAGATATCATGTATGTGTAACGATGTAGCTATAAAAAGAAAATATGATAAGAATTCTCTAATGTTGGATTTTGGCTAACCTACATATTAATATTTTTGACTGTTTAAACATATTGTACACTTAATTGATGAGGTTCATCTTTTTTTCTAGTACAATAAAAAAAGACAAATGAACTTACTTCTAATGAATTTTCATCTCTGATTGGTTGATTAATGGAACCATACTGCTGAAAAAATGTAAATAAAAGTATTTAAAAAAAAACGATACACGAAAGTATAATTTACTAAATTGACAAAAAAGTTGCTATAAATTTAACCCTAACTCAATTAATGAATGCATATGATATGCTTGAATGCTATTACGAGTTCACTTTAGTAGTCGGTATACGAGAGCGAAGACAAATGATCCAGTGACACCATAGGCTATTCTAATCCGAGCCTCCCAAGGCATCACTAAGTAGAAGAAAAAGTCTTGATATGGTGTAGGAAGTGTACTCCACAGGCATTCAGAAAATGAGGTTGACAAGTACACAAATCGATTTTATTTACACACAACAGAAAAGTCCTTGGGAGAGCCACAAAAATAGTGTACTAAAATAATACATCAACTAATAACACCCAAGGATTTTTCCAGTGGGAAATGTAATTTCAAGGTCAACTGATCAGTCCATGCGCGAAAACATAAAATCCAAAATTAGGATCTTTATCAAGTGAGTTCTGGAGATCTAACGTCCCCAACTTTAGGTGATGTGTGCGTTGATGCTCGCCTGAACTGAAGCAGGCACGGTGCAGTCTGAACCTTTATACCTGATGGATGAAAGTTAGATGGTCTAGTCACTAAATCATCAGTACTGATGGTGATTATGTACGATCGACTGTCTGAATCAATAACGAGGTAGTCAATGAACGACAGACCATTAAAAAACCCAACTATTAAGTAAGCCATAAACTTTGTTGATTTTACTAAAGGAATGAACGAATATATTAAATGATAGTACAACTACTAGATAGATAACAGAATTTTATTTATACTTGGTTAAATACCACTCATATAAAAATAGATGGGATTATAATTTACAGACAACATGACCTATTGATCCATTGATCATTGAATATTCAATATTTTTGACAACCAATACCCTAAATAAGTCACCCTTTTTAACCAACCTAAAATTACAATGTAAAAATGACTGATTGACTTTCAGTCAATTCAACAGCACAGTCAATTGTTCAATCATATTTAAACTAAGCATTATGAAAAATTGTTACTCTTGTTCCACTTGCTAATTTAGTCGCTTTCGATGAATTTTCGGTGCTGATCGATCGGGAAATAGTTATTATCATTAATAATATCCCTATTTGAAAAGTCACTAAGACATAGATTAAAAAGCGAGATAATTATTTTGACTTCAGAAGAAGTAGCAATCGTTTCTATTGCTTTTTCCGGGCGTTTTTTTTAACTCTAATTGTAGAACTGAGCTCAGAACATACTGGCTTACTTACAACGCTGACCAGCATTCTTCAGCATACTCTGTCCTGGTCCTCTCTTTCTAGTTTTGTCTAAAATGTTGTTCATTCTTCTCATGTCTTTTTCTATTTCTTGGCGTAATGTGCTCGTTGGCTTTCAGGATACCAGGTGAAGGCTTGTCTTGTGTGGCTTATCCACTTCCAGCGCTTCTTCCTGATTTCCTCCTCCACTGGAATCTGGTTTGTTCTCTACAACAGTAGATTTTTGCTGATAGTGTTTGGCTAGCGAATTCGAAGCATTTTGCATAGACAACAGTGAATGAACACCTGCATCTTCTGGATGATGGCTTTGGTAGTTTCCCAGGTTTCCGTCCCATATAATAATACTGTCTTGGCATTTGTATCGAAAATTCTGACTTTGGTGTTGGTTGATAATTGTTTCAAGTTCCGTATGTTGTTCAATTGTAGTTGAATTTCTGTCCTTGCTTTGCCGATCCATGCCTTCATATCTGCATCAGATGTGAACATATGGGTCTCTTTGCATCCCTGTTGGTATTGCTTGTGATATTACTTATACAGCCGAGCTATCTTATTACTTGGTATTCTTCGAGCATTGTACAACGCTCAACTAGTTCCCAAAATCAGAACACAGATTGAACAGATAGTTCATTATATTTTAACAAACCAAATTGAATGCGAATGGATTTGAGTAATATAAAACATTCTCAAGTCTTTTTCAGGTGTCCATTAGAGAAATGACCGGCTACGAATGAGCTAATCTGTGTGCTCGAACGTAATCCTGCATTGGACATGTTTTGATCCTGCTAACAGAGATTTACAAATATGTTAACAGCTCATAAAAATTAATTTCTGCTTCACACTAAACACGAACAGAAAATATCGACTAACTACTAGTTAGTATATGAGCTTTAGTGGTATGTATTTGATGTGGTCAATTGATGGCTACCTACAAAGACGGTATTATTATTATTATTATTATTATTATTATTATTATTATTATTATTAGGGACTAAATCTTCTGAATAATTACAAATCAAAATACAACACCATTCACTAGATGAAAAGATTTTTTAGTGATAAAAATAAAATGATCATATGTAGAATATGAACACACAAAAGACGCAATAAAATGACATAGGCAATTAAAGGGAATTAACTTGTAGGTCACTGATTCTCCTTGAACGAGATGGCTCAAAATCGTTTGCAATGGTGCAGATGCATTCGTTCTTTGTGTTCTCTCAAATTCTAATCTTCTGAACTCCTCATCTTTTTCTCTTTCTAAAGTTATCTCATTGAATTACACTTCTTGAATAATATCTTTAATCCCTAATATTCTCCATCACCATATGATTCGAACTGATAGTGGCATCTCTGTTCTAATGCAGTATAGCAACCTGAACTGATGTACGCACGTACGAAGTTCTACGTTGTGACTGACTAACTGACTGACACTTATTCTCCAAACAATTAACACCTGACTGTTAGGCCTCATTTTCGGACATTGTATCCATTACTGACTTTGATATGATGGTTCAATAGTTTTGAGAAAATTATCACCATATACTTCTTATGCAAGAAATTCATTTATTGTGGTGCGGCGATACATTTTTACGCATGGTAATAATCTATTTGAACTAAAATTCTCATTACACATACTATTCTTCATACATGGGGAGATGAATGAACTCAAAAATTGTTTTCTATTGAAGTTTCACTATTTAAAATCATTAAATCTATCACTTAAGTAAGTCCTTGTGTTAGATCAATTCAACAGCGATCACATGGGTTGGTGGGACATGTCCTCAATAAAAACGTAATTATGAGTGCACATTTACTCGATGTAACGACCTAATACATATGTAAGTAACTAAATCTATTTATATACATATATTTTTTCAGGTAACTTTGATTCGATTATACACTAAAAAAAACCTTATTAACGGTAGCTAAATTGATAGAATTATAAGTTTACACTGATTAAATTAGTCCGGACACCTCCTATAACCGGTAGCGCTGATCGACGAACAATCACACTGGGACATTGATAAAGATTCTCTAATCTATAACTAAATGGTCAGTCAGTCAGCTACAACGCAGAAACTTCGTCTGTAAGTACGTACATCAGTTCAGGTCACACCATACAACATGAACACAGAGATCGAATTGTCAGTTCAAATCCCATAGTAGTAGAGATAATAGAAGTGTATCAGTTGTAATGGAGAAGATTAGGGTTCGAAGAAATTATTCAAAAAGTATAATACAGTGAAATAAATTTGAGAAGAGATGATGTACATGAGGAATTTAGATGATTAGAATTTAAGAGAAGACAAAGAATCAATGCACCTGTGCCATCGCAATCCACTTTGAGCCATCTCATTCAAAGTCTCCAACTATCGGTGGTTGCAATGCTGTCTCGCGAATCCCACCCAACCAGGAGGTAGTCCTACAACATCTCTACCAACATGGTTCAATCTATAAATCATACTAAATAATAAAATGATTAAGTGTTGATTTCAGCCAAAATTCAATTGGGAAGAGAGATTCTCCATATATTAGAAATCAGTTCAAAGCACTAAGATAAACAGATGTATTTGTGTCTTTCATCTGTACTTGAATCTTGAACAATATATATATTACTTCATTTCTACATGTATTTTGTCTATTACGATATGAATAACCTATCTCACTAATTATTATGCCTTATAATTTTGAATAAATGTGATAACTCATTCAATTTTGAATGAAACTCTAAACATTACTCTAAATTTGAATAATTGGCTCCTATCAGTAAGTAGCTTTACACGATTTATCATAAAACTGAGTAAATTAAATTAAGATTAGTATAAAAATTATACACATACACTATGAAATATGCTCTTTCATAATTTGTAAAAAATTTAATATGTACAATTACAAAAAAAAACATTCATTGTAATTAATTCTCATTATTATTATTATAAAAAACGGTAAAGTGCAAATTGTATTGCAAAATCTTATTCAAACAAAACAATATCAATTTTGTTTTTAATATAAAAATAATACTTGAAACATACTTGTACATTAGGGTGGGTAGACTGAATTATAACGGATTCAGGATCTAAACAGAAAAGAAAATGTAATCTGTTTATCATGCATATATATGTCTTTTGATGAAATTCACTTTTAATGAGATATTAGAGAGAAATTACATTGGAGACTTATTCGTTGTAGGTTAGATAGGGGCTACTGTTTCCTGTGGCTTTGGGCAGAATACAACTTGTTTCTGGTTAGCATTTACTATAGACATAGTCATTTCCGATGTGTTACCCGGTGTCCTCCTTTCGTATTGCAAGCCTAGACTCGAATTGACCACGTTGTGATTAGCTACCGCTGTAGCTACTTCTTGAATAATATTTTCGAACCCTAATCTCGCTGATTACTGCTAATACCTTTACTATCTCTATTACTATGGGATTTTAAGTTGGAAGAAAGTTAGGGGCGGCCAAACCAAAACATGGCAGAAATCCATGAAGTCATTGACGAGTGGACTTAAGCATGTCGGTAGCTGTCGACTACATGGTTGGGGTGTGCGAGATGATAATTTTCGATGGTTAGGGACCTTGAATGACATGGCTCAAAATCGTTCGCCATGGCGCCGGTGCATTTATACTACGTGTTCTCTCAAATCCTAATCTTCTGGGTTCTTCAACAACTCTAGTTTTGACTTTCTAAACTTTTCTCATTAAATCATAAAAAT